CCTTGTTAGAGTCATGTATTCCAAGAATTTCTATGGACCAATTTTTCCCTGTTGTGGGAGAGAGAAGAAAAATAACACAAAGGGCAGAACAGAACAGAAAAAGAGATGAGGGGTGAGTGGTGAGTGTGGACATAAGCACATTGGCCATCTTCTGGTGGGTAAACAGGGGTGCCAGGGAAAGGAGAGCAGCCGGGTGCTGGGTTCCAAAGGGAACCACCCCGTGCCTCCCAGTGAACCTTCCTAGAAATTAGCAGTAAGAAGTCAGTTATGAATTTCCCAGTTAGTTGCCCTTCCAAACATTACTAAAATGACTTTCTTGGTTATTGTTTTAATTTTTTCAAAAGTATTAGCCAAACTATTTAGGATGTGTTCCAGTTAATTCTTTTTTACAGGCAGGAGATGTCTTTCTTATTTTTTTGAATATATGAAGCATTTATTACAGGGGTGGAGGAGATGGGAACTGTGCCTGTAAAAAAAAAAAAAAACCTGCTTTGTAAATTGTAATGGTCATTGTCTCACTGGCTCCTGAAGGAGCAGGAGTGAAGTTGTCACTTGAAGCTCAGAGCAAAGAATCTGCACGAAACCGACTCAACCTCCACCAAGAGAAGCACTTAAATGTTTCAAAATTACAGTGCCGGAAGCATTTCTCTTCAAACATTCATCTTAGGAAGAGCCTGCGAAAGGGGATTTCTGTTCTTTTCGATTGAGTCAGTGTCACTAATAATAAGGCTTCGGTCCCTCGAAAAGCCCCCTGAGGGAGTATTTTTCAATTTACTCATTTTATTTATTATTCAGTACTTTTTACATTATATTTCTTAGACTCCCCCCCTTCACGTTTCTCTCCCAGCAGTGTAATCAAATTGAGATACACCTAAGGACAGACTTACTTCTCCCTTTCTCTTTACCCCTCTGTTCCCCAGCCTCAATTCCTACTTCTCCAGCCCTAAAGAAAACTGATGAAGGAACAAAAGTGAGGAAGGTTTTGGGGTGCTTTCTCCACTCAGCACAGGCTAGTCATGGCAGATGGAGAAAAGACTGGTTCGAGGCGTCTGGGTGAAAAGGGTGGAGGGCCTGAGAAGTACAAATCGGTAATTACAAAATAGCCACAGGGCCCCAGCCGGCGTGGCTCAGCGGCTGAGCATCGACCTAGGATCCAGGAGATCGTGGCTTAATTCCCGGTCAGGGCACATGCCCAGGTCGTGGGCTTGATCCCCAGTGGGGGGGGGGGTGCAGGAGGCAGCCGATCAATGACTCATCATTGATGTTTCTATCTCTCTCCCTCTCCCTCTCCCTTCCTCTCTCTGAAATCAATGAAGATATATTTTAAAAAAAATAGTCACAGGGATGTAAAGTGCAGCATAGGAAATAGAGTCCATAATGTTTCGACAATTTTGTATGGTGCCAGGTGAGTACTGGAAATAGCAGGGGAACACTTTGTAAAGAATACGCTTGGTAGACACTATCCTGTACACCTGAAACTAATACAAAATAGTACTGAATGTAAACTATAATTTAAGTAAAAAGAAAAAAGACTGGCTCAACGTGCTTATGGCCCCTCCTAACAGCAACCTCTGCCCAGAAGCTTGAGCAGTTTATGCTACTCAATGGGACTTACTAGAAACTGGCCTCTTTCTTCTTTTTAAAATAACACAGTTCTTGGCATTGACTTTCTACAGAAACCATGAAGCAAACAATTCTTGAGAAAGTTTTTTCTTCTCTGTAAATTAGAGGATTATAAAGTGGCAATAGCAATGGGCTTGCCGGGCACACCACTGCACCTGTGAGTCAGCACCACCTTGATGTGGGGGGAGGGGGAGTGGGGACAGATAATCAGGTTTTATCCCTGAAGTGCGCTGAAAGAATATAATTATAGAAACAAATATTTTCAATGTTTTTCTTTTATTTATGAGAATGTGCCTTAATATTTCCTTGTGTATTCAAATGCTTATTCTTATCTGTACTCACTACAAATGTAGCCTGTCTTTCCTTTCTGTTTCTGCTCTTGTGGGGCACTTCTTGTAATCCAGGCATCTCAAAACCAGACTCAATCTTAGACTGGATTCCTGAAATGTCCTACCTGTTTAAAACGTCCCTCGTGCCAAAGCATGCCCCCCACCCTTTCCTTCAGTAGCCAGCATTTAGGGTGCTGCTCACTGCCTGTTGGAAGGGTTGCTTAACTACTATTCGCACATTTTTTGCTGACAATCTTCCCAGGTAGGCACTGTTATTATTCCATTTTGAGATGAGGGAACTGAAGTCAGAGGGGTTGCCCATGGTCACTGGTCTGTGGGGAAGCAGAGCTTGGGTTTGGAGCTGGGTTCTATGGACATTTGGGCTCCTCTTCACACGCTGAGATGTTGCCTCTCTCTTGAAAGGACCTCATTTGCTGGCAGCTTTGGAAAAGACCTTGACTCCCAGCTTGCCTCCAGCAGACACCCCACCGCCAAGAAGCAGGCCACCCAGAACATGAGGCCGGCTGAAGTGCCTTTGACTAAGCTGGGGCTTCCTGCCATTCGCTGCTCCTGAGCTTTTGGGGTTTTTTTGTTGTTTTGTGTTCCAGAGAGCCCCTGATGCCACAGAAACCCACTAACGTAAACCCTGAGCTCAGCTTTAGAGAGTGATAACGGGAGGAGGGCCGCAGTCCTCCCAGGTGTAAACAAAAGCCCAAGAAAACCATGTCAGAAAGACATTTCCCAGAGTTTGGGGCTAGTTTAGTTCACAACAAGAAGACATGCTCCCCAGCTCTCCCTCACCTCTTACACCCCAGCTGCACGGGCCCCCCATGGTCAAGAAAACTGACTTCCAATTTTATAAAACAAAGGATACCCCTCCAAAACCAGGCAATTGTTTAGGCAGTTTTATCCTGTACGCTTTTCTAAATGTTCTACAGAGAGAATGCTGCTTTTTAAAACAGCATTTAAAAAAAGTGTCTGGTGGGTTTCCCAAGTTATTACCTCCTGCAAAGATTGCAGGGAAGGTGGAAGACAGTAAGGAGGGAAATGAGACCGTGTGTGTTAAAAATGCTATATAAACATTGTTTGAAAAACAGAAAATTCTACTGAAATGCAAATCGGTGTCTTGTATTATAGTTTTAATTTGCCAGTTAGACCAAGACACGCCCCCTCCAGTGTGGGGCTGGGGCGGGTTGGGGGTGTTCTTGATCTACTTGCAGTTGTAAGCATTGGAGTGCGTTTCAGGCTGCAGAAAGATCCGAGTGTAAGAGAGATGGGCGTCTGTATTGCTTTGAAGAGCTAAGAGCATATGCCTTTCAACAGGCCCATGGCCCCAGAAGCCTCCGATTCTTGCCTTCAGTAACCCTCCCTCCAGACGGACAAGATCAGAAACTAATGAGCTGCATTTGGAAAGGCAGTGAACCAAAGGCGATGGCCACCACTCTGGGGACAACGATGCAACCCCTGTCCAGAGCCAGGAGGGCACCTTCCAGTGAACTTCCAGACCAGACTCAGTCAAGGGCAACACAGACCACATCTAAGGCGCCCAGGGCACTCGCTTTTCACAATGCGTTTTATTATTCATAAAAAAATAAACGTTATTTACATTTGCTAATTAACTGTGGTCCTGCAGCCTCCAGCAGCTGTTTGTTCCCCCTGAGCAGGGTCTCTAGGTACGGAATGGGCTCAGGGCCCCGGCGAGGAAGGACGTGGGCGGTGAGGGGGTCGGTGCTGCTGGGGAAGCAGGGGCGGGGCAGGCGGGGACGGTCAGGGGTCCA